TCATATAGACTCAAAGATTCATACTTCTAGAATATTATTTCCCTGTAAGACACCTTATGAAACCTGAGAATTTCCAGGCAAAAAGCACAGTAGGCGGACAAAAAGGAGAATCCGGCACGAGATAATGAAACTCTCCGAAAAAAATTGCAAAAAATCTCGATGAAAAGCAAATAAATAAAAAAAAATCCAATCGTACGACTGAGCGCATATCAGCAAAGAATTTGAGCAGTGCTGGAAGACAAAACACCGTTCAAAAATGCTTAAAAGTGCAGTAAGTATGAGGCAAATGTAACGTGGCCCGATAAAAAGATATCTGAGCACATTAGACCATCGAATTGACTATGAGAGGCAATCTTTCTAAATAACAGCTTCATGATATATTCTGTGTTAAAATCATAAATGATGTTGTCAAAGCAATGTACATCAGCTAGACTAGTTGTGTGGTAAAGATGAAAAACAACAAATGGGTAAAATGGATTACTGAATAGCACACCTATGTGATGTTAAAGGTTCTGCAGTAAGATCGGGGATTCATATGAACGTCTGTAGCAGCACGACTAGAAAACAGAATTGCGATGCTTTCTGCAGACTGCATCGACAGCACAACAAGCGTAGCTGTGAAACAAAATGTCGTTAAACTAACAAAGTGAACTAGAATTAGCCTGATCCTAGCAGGAATCCTTAGCGGTATACTGGTCAATAGCTGGCTAACCATGATCTTCCAAAGTTGTCCACAATGTCAGATCACTTCCAGAACAATAGGTTTCGACTTGTTCCAATTGCAGAGAGTATCGAAATGTGCTCAGTCAGAGGGAATCCAAGTTGCCTTTACCTTGTTTCTAAAGGAATTCTCGGAAAAAACTGCTACACTGCCACTTTAATCAATAGGCATTAGAAGCGAATGATCAAATAACAGGCAAGAATCTTGGTTTAATTTTCAAGGCTTGGCCCCAGAAAATTCATGATGCCTTTATGCACTTCGGGCATGTCGAGTTAAGCCAAGAATGCCAAGCGGCAGGGAATTAATAATTGGAAAATCTCTAAAGAAAAAAATCCCCAGGTGCAAAAGCACCTAAATGTTTCTGTGTGAAATGCTAGTAGCATTAGGATTTTTGTTAGGAAGCGCTCTTCATTCTCCTTTCCGTCGCTGTCCCCCCCCCCCC